AACAAAGGTTCTTCTAAATTTCTTCAAAGTAGCTAAATCAGAAGATTTTCAAGGTTTTACAACACTCAAGTTTATTCAGACTAAGAGGTCAATTTAGTCAAGTATTAGCATACTCACAAAATCTTAAATTTAGAATAACTTACAAGCTTGATTTTAGAACAAAAATTTTGGGACTTAAATTCATATTAATAGAAATGGAATGAAGTAGGAACAGTACTTCGTCATAAATTTTCTAGGTAAACGATGCCACTTAAGTCAAATAGTGTTAAAAAGTGGCAAATGATTAACATTGAAAACCCTAATAATTTTCAGTATCAGTTCCCAATTTATAAGATTATATAGCCTAAACACAAGATTTAAAAGTTTAAAATATGAAAACAAAGTTCCCTGAATAAATATTTGACACGTGGCATGAAAAAAATAATAACTTAACATGTAAACAAAACCACTTGAATTAATTTCTGTGCAATATCAGCAAAGAATTCTTTTGCTTCCTATTTTGTTAAAGTAATCCACTGTCCATACGACATAGGATCAAAATTCAGTGACTGGAATTTATACTAAGGCCAAGCATCAATCTCTTTTAGTCCAAATCTAAAAGGTCATGAGGCAAATGCATTAGGCCTGACATCTGATATCACCAGAAAGTAAAAAGTAAGTTTTCTGACAGAAAAGTGGTGCACAGTTGTATAAGAAACCTCAATCTAAAAGTGAATGTTGATGGCACGATTCTAAATTGCTTGGTTATGACAACAGTTATTATTACTCTAATCAGGTTTCTTAGAGAACTAAAATGAATTGGGAAATAATCATCAACAACACAAGTCAGAAGACAGATGGAGGCTTTGCACCATTTCAGTTGTATGGACCAGGACTCACAAACACTACGACAATTCACAAGTGCTGGTTTTGTTGTTAAGGCTCAGTAAAATGGACAAAAAAACCCCCCAAAAAACCCACTTTTAAGACTTTTACTAATCTTAAGAAGAACTTATACCTTGAAAAGAGCTATACAAACAAAAGGTACTTAATTTTTAAAAGTATTCAACCACATTTTGTTAATTATTCCTCAAATAAAGTTAACTTCTCCTAAATTTTCCACTAAAATGTAAGCACTGTTGGGACAGGGGTGCCTAACACAGTGTCTTGCACATATTAGATGCTTAATAACTGTTTGTTGAATTGTTTTCAATGTCAACTTTAAACTTTCAGCCAAAGAACTCAAAAAGTAATTCTCTGATTAAAAAGATCAATCCAAAAAATGTGCTTAAGGAGACATTTAAGTGCTTTCAGTTACAATACGCAATTAGCTAACCAGACCCTTAACTACACCCAAACAGATCAAGATTATCATGATAAGAATTTCGAAAACATTAAACCTAATGAGGTTGTACACTGTTATATTAGTTTTGATTTAACATCCCTGATCATAAGTAGAATTATCAAAGAGGTAGTAAACAACTTTACCTGGGAGATCTTATATCAAAACTCAGTTTCTGAGAGGGTGCCTAGTTAATTTAGTCCAACAAGCAAAAGGGTACACAACTAATTCGGAGAACAAGGAAAACTCTGAGATAGCTCAATAAGAAAAGGATTTGGTAATGTTTCTATATTTCAGAGACAACAGTCTACTTTTCTCCTCCAAAACAACCTAGTCACCATCACTCTAAGTACCTCAAAACTGTTCAAAAAGCAAACAAGAAATAAGATGGAAATTTTAAAATGCTAGTCTGCAGAAATTAGACCTGGCTTAAGGGCATTGTTTTTTTAGTGGTGATAAGGCTAGCAACAATTCAACATTTGTAGGCTTGTGTTTTTTAACATGAAAACAAATACTATTTAAGTGAGGAATAGTCATTACAATAAGAATCCACACTTTACCAGGTCACTTCAGCTTAAAAAAAATTCAAAACATAGAGGTAGCATAAATAAAAAGCAGAAGAAATTAAAATACACACAAGATAAAAAAACAAACCAAACATCTTTTGCAAAGTTTGAGTACTCAAATTTCAAGGAACTTCAATTAAAAGACTTTTTTTAAAGCTATGCTTAATTTAAGAATCTTATCCAATAAGTTATTAGCTAATAAAAATTAAGTTAAAACAAGGATACTGGTCTTTTAAAGCTTCGGTCAGCTCCTTCACCATAGTTATGAAATTAGGCACCTTATCCTCTACATTCTACTTTTATATACTATAAATCTTAAACAGGGCACTGTCAGATTCAATTTTTGAGATAACACTCACAGGAAGTAGTTACCATCCCAGTAGAAACAGCTTATGTAATGTACTTATACCTTGCAAAGTACTCGCATGAAAAGTCTACCAACTTTCAGCATAAAATCAGGTTGACCACCCTGCTCATCATTTAAGGAATTGCTCCTTAATTGGAGACATAATTTAGAAACGAGTTTTACATTTTCAAACTCCATGTTATTCAAAGGTGTAAGCTGCTCTAGACACTGTTGTGTGTATATGCAGTGGTGTCACATGAAGCCTTCCACGTTACCCCCACATGTGCCAGGTGTAATCTTCCATCAGTTAATGCTGCTCAGTGCTAGCTTGTATGAGTAACTTTCTTCAGGCTAGTGTCAGGGCACCACTCACTGTCACACCTGGCAGGAAGAGAGCATGTATCACCACTGCAGACACAGATCTGTAAACTTGCACACTAATTTTAATCTTAACAAGGAATTCTAGTGTCTTCATTGTCTTAAGTAAAAAGGGTGTTTCAAGCATTATGTCCTTTTGTCTTTTAGGTTTACAGAGAGCTTATTGGAAAACCCAGAGCCTTCTGGATGACTGAGGTAGTAGACAATGCTTCCTCCTGCATAGATCACACCTCTCCAAAGTTGGTATGGCCAGTCTCCTTGGCATGTTCCCTTGCTTCTGCCTGTCCAGTTAACCCCTTCTGGCACACCATGCATCTCAGGGTAAATCGGTTTACATCAGTAAACTGCCTCTTTCTTCTAGCTTCATCTGCCAGTTCCAATGCTTGTGCAAGAACAATGTCATCATTGGAGGAAAAGATGGTCAAAGGAGGGCTGTCTGGGTCAGGGAAGTCTCGCTGAAGTGGATCATAGTGGATGCCATCATAAATTAGTAGTACCCTTTTGGGGTAGCCAGCGTCTTCCCCAAAGCGGTCAATTCTGACTGTCTGAGTGTCCACTACACAAATTTCACATTGATAAAACTTTGACAAAATGGATATCTCAATAGCTCCTCCCCAAGTGTCGTCCCTTCTAATCCAGTCACAGTACTCTTCATTTGTTTTTCCCAATAATGCCTCACAGTAGAATTCTGGATCACTTGCTACTATCTCTGCTATAAGATTTCGCATCTCAGGGGCACAAGCTGGATCCAAAACTCCCCCTTCCACTACATAGTACACACTGGTGAAAAGGCAGGAATTATCTGCTGGGACCACTGTTCTGGTAAGTACAGGCAAAACTTCCCTGAATGAAGTATGAGCACCATGTTTTGTAAGTGCAGAAGATGAAGTCTTATGCTTGGTTTTGTCTTCTTCAATGATCAGGGTATCACCTGTTAAAAATAAAGCACATCCAGAACTGCAAAAGAATGTTTAGATGAAATATGGCTGACTAGCCAGTCTGTAAAGCATGTTACTAGCTGTGTGACCCTGGGCAAATCAGTTAACTCCTGCTTGCCTCAGTTTCTTCATCTGTAAAATGGGGATAGCAAAGGTACTCTACCTCCTAGGATTGTTGTCAGGATCAAATGATATAATAATTGTAAAGCAGTTAACACAGAGCCTGGCACATACTATTACATAAATCTTAGTTAACATCATTACTGTTTTATAACTGTTGTAGGTACTCACTCAGTGGATGTAGATTACAACTCCTCTGGAATTTAAGAGATATTCTAAAAGAGTTGCTGCAACCAAAAAATCTGTTAGCCTGAAGCCAACCTGGTGATAACCCTCTTTGAATTTAGCTAGGCTGGTCCTCACAACTACATCAAGTTAGTCTATTCCTGGGGGAATACTTAAAGCCTTTCCAGTCGGTAAAACCTGTCAGACCTTTTAAGAACCCTGGGTCACCTCCTGACGAGGCATCAGAGTAGGAAGCCTCTAAGGTCCCTTTTCTAACTTGGAATCTGTTATTCTACAACTTATTTTAAATAAAAACAAAACCAGAGAAGAAAAGAAAAAAAAATCTTAATCTTGGCCACCAGGAGGTGTGCTGAGAAGAAAGATATCGACTACTCTTGTTTTTCTGAGTTTTTGACACCACTGCGATAAGGTGCTAATTAGAGAAGTTGTTCTTCAAGTTTCAGTTGTCAACAGAAATAATTGCTACTGGTTAGAGCAGAAGAAGGCTATTAAGAGAGCCTTAAAAAGCTATTATGCTAAAACTAAACTTAAAATAACCTAGTACCCGTAAGCATGGATATAGAAAATGACTTAAACTTGGAATTTTTTTTTCAGAGAACAGCATAACCTCTCCCCACAAACCCTCTCCTTCACCCCATCTCCACCTCCCCGTTTTGGGGAGTGGGGGGAGGCACTAGCTGGCCAAGGGAGGGAGAACTTGGGGACTTGGTCCATGAAAAGATGCTCGTCGAAGGAAAAGGGAGCAACGGAAAGCTCCTCACGCCTGCAAAATTCTGGGGAAGGAGAGAGAACGTCTGAGCTGCGATACGGCGGCCCCAACGTGGGCAGACCGGAGGGGATGGTCAGTTCTGCCCCGGCGTCCTTGGGCCACCCGGCTGAGCCCTCTAGTTTCCTCATCTGTCAAATGGGGCATACGCATCCCAGGCCCTGGCTCCCGGGACCGCACTAGAGACAGCCGCGGGTCCTGCGGGAGGGTCCCGGGCTTCCCCGGCTCCCCCCGGGCCCGGGGCCTGCAGCCCGTATCCCCGCGCCCCTGCCCGCCCGCGGGAGCGCTCCTACCATGGCCTGAACACCTAGCCCCGGCCCTCCTCTCCTCCTCCTCCCCTTCGGGGGTCCCCCCGGGGCCCGCAGGCTGGCGTCCTTACCCGACTGGATGGGCAGGTCCCCCAGCACGGTCTCCCCGTCGCTGAGGTCCAGGCACTCGGGAGGGAAGCCGACGAGGATCCGCTGCCCGCCGGGGGCGATCCCGGTGACGGCGGCTATCTGGCCCTCGAGCTCCCGCACGCGGGACCGGCTCGAGAGGCCCTGCAGGACGTGAGTGCCGTTCTTGGCCTTGCAGCGGAGCCGCCACATCGCGTCCGCCCGCCCGCCGGACACCTCCCGGGGCCTGCCTGGGACACCGCCGGTCGGAGGGAGACGCCGCCGCCGGGGCAACCGGCCGGCGGATGGAAACTAAAATGGTCGCCCCTCGCCGGGATAAACATCGCGAGAAGTAGCCACGCCCCCTTTCCCCGCCCCCCTGAGGGGCATGCGCTCGCGAGACTTCCGCCGGTCCAGTCAGAACCCTCTTGGAAGATAGGACAGTCTTAAAGGGACAACACCCTTTTTTCTCCCATGCCCCTGCTCCCCAGTCCTCCTCCATCCTAGGATGCTCTGCAGGTTGGATGACGGCAGGAACCACGTACGTGCCCCAGCGGTCAGCCCGCAGCGAAGGCGTGCATCTTCTAGGTGCGGCTGCCGGAGGACACGCTCACTCGATGGATTGGAATGTCCCTTCGCACTTGCTAAGAGGTCAGAAATGGACCATAACCACATCTGACACTTACTGAGCAGGAACGAAAAGAATCTGCAGAAGGAGAACAAAGAAAGGGCTGAGCGGCCGGTGGCGGTCCCCAACACTGACTCACCCTCTTTAAGTGGACTAAAGGATTCATTAAACCTCAATGCAGAGTAAACAGCACGAGGTAATTTGTCACATCTAAAGGGAACTCGTGGGAGGTCCGGATCAGTCCCGGAAGCCCAAGTGTCACCTGTAAAGAACAAATAGTGATAATAACACATTTCAGATAATGATAATAACAATTTTCACACGGGACACTTAAAACAATTTTTAAGTGGTTTACACACATTATAATAATAGCTCTATAACATATCATGCATGTGTATGTTTATATATATACACATATATACATACATACATACGTGTGTACATGTACTCCATTACTTTGTGTCAGACACTGGGCAGAGTGCTTTACAATTATTATCTCATTTAATTCTCACAACAACCTTGAGAGGTAGAGGCTATTGTCTCCATTTCACAGAGGTTTAGTGAGTTGCCTAGGGTCACATAGCTAGTAAGTGTTTAAGGCCAAATTTGAACTCAGGTTTTTCAGATTTCAGGCCTTGTGTTCTATCCACTGTACTACCTAGCTGCTTAGGTACTGCCTTGGACCAGGCAAGATACAAATATATATATATATATAATATCTTACAGCTTGTACAGTATATGATATAATATAAAGTTAACATGTTTTATTATAATATGTATATATTTATAATAATTTGTATAATTTGAACTCATACAATTTGAACATCATCATCATTTGAACTATATCATGATCATGCTATAATGTCATAAATTAATAGTATATATACAATTATCTCATATATTATACATCACCCACATATTATATAAGTATTACATAAATATATAAATATAAAACACAAATGTATTTACTTATATGTAATATGTAAATATATAAAAATATAGAGTAATATCTATTATGTGTTGTATAATATTTATTAATTATGTCCATTTATTGTTATATGCTATATGATTTGTATATCACAATCTGTAAGTGTTTATAATGTATATATAACATTTATTATTTATATTTATGATATATTTTAATTTTATTAATATATAATATATTAATATATAGTATGAGATTTATATTATAGAGTGTATATATAGTAATATATTTATTACATAATGTATACTGTTAATAATAATAAGTTTTCATCATCATCATTATGCATAGTCATAGCATAGTCATAGTGCATAGAGCACTGGACCTGGAGTTAGGAAGACCTGAGTTCAAATTCAGCCTCAGACACTTACAAGCTGTGAGACCTTGGGTAAGTCACTTAGCTTCTGACTGCTTCCTTTCTACATCTACAAAATGGGGACAAAAATAGCACCTAACTCCCAGTATTGTTGTGGGGTTAGAATGAGATTACATATGTAAAATGCTTTACAAACCTTAAAATACTATACAAATGCTAGCTATTATTATTATCTCATTTAAGGTATGAGAAAACTGGTGTTATAGAAATAAAGTAACTTGTCTATAGTCACACAGCTACTAAGTATCAGAGGCAAAATTTAAACCCTAATTTCCCAGAGTTCAAATTCAATATGCTGTTCACTATTAATTACATACTTTACACTTTAAATCAAGCCACAAGCATTTTTAAGCTCCTACTATATACCTGACTCTGTATTAGGTACTAGCCACACAAAATCAGCAGTGAAATAGTCCTTGCTTCCAATGATCTTATATTCTGTTGGGTTGAGACAGCATTCTCATGGAGAAAGCAATGTCCATATGGAATAAATACATAGTAACTGGGTGGGAGACATTAGCAATTGGGGTAATGAGAAAAGGCATGTGGGATGTAGCCCTTGTTCTGTGTTTTGAAGGAAACAGAAATTACAAGGGGGTGAAAGAGTGGAGAGAGTGTGTTCAGGCGTGGGATGAAATGCAAAGGCAGAGAGGACAAAGGATCTGTGAGTAACAGCAGGCAGTTAACAAATAGTAAATCACAGAGCCAGGATTCTCACTGAGGTCTTCTGATGCCAAAGTCCAGTACTTCCTATAGCTACTACATGTGACCTTCCATTCAAAAAAGGGTTTTTAAAATGGGTAGTAAAGACCAGGCACTAAGGATATGAAAAATGAAAAATTACACAGTCCTTGCCCTTGATGATATTAAGATCCAATAAGGGAGAAGCCAAATAAGAAGTACACAAATAAAATATGATACAGAGGGAAATATCATGAGGGTAAAGGAGAGACCCAGACATAATGCTCTAAGAACTCCCATTCCACAGCTCTTCCCTTGGACATATGGGGGACCCACACCAGCAGCAAGTCTCTGAATTAAAGGTGAGTGTATCAAGAATACTATTTACATAGGATGTACCCATGTATTATAAAGAGTGACTATACCTACAAAACATGTGACATCTACAGTACTAGCAATAATCTGTTTTCTTGGGGCTTACAAACATATCCTGGTGAGAAAGCCTCTTCACTTCCTAGCATTATGGATAGCACTTCTACACTCTCCTTAGGTCTTGAGAACTGGATCCCTACCAGTATAAAATTTCTTATCCACTTTACAAAGCTTGATACTAACTGAAAGCTGAGGGTTCTGAGTTCTTATTGGTCAAAAGTACAGTTGGTTTATTGCCAGTCTGTTGTGCAAGCCTGACTCTGGCAAAAAGTCAGTGGAGAAGGTGGAAGATGGAAAGTCAAGTAGGAAACTGGATAGATTGGGGCCACATGAGGTCTTTGGTTCTGTGATGCTGGGGGGACTGGCCATGAACCTCTTACTTGGGAGACTCAAGCCCAGGAAGGAAACATTTGAAGGGCATCTTAGGAAAATGAAGACATGCTCATGGGGATCTCGTCTGGAATAAAAGAGTTAATATCTGACCACACCTTCAGAGGATATCTGTTTAATTTATTTCATTGAGGAGTGGGCTGGCTTGCTGTTCTCGCGAGATTTTAAAAAAACCTCTTGTCTTTTCAATATCGCCAGCTCCCGGGTTGCTCGGCAACGGGGTAGCCAATCCTCCGCCCTGCTAGGTAACCTGAGGGCATATAATCCGTCCTTTCGGCATCCCCTCCTCCCGTCTGGCGTTGGCGTCATCATTTCCAGCAAGAGCACAGCCCCCCTGAGACTCTGCGGTTTCAGATTGGCCAACTGTAGGCTCCAGGTGAAAGCGCTCGCAGGGAGGTGGGGTCACAGAGTGGGCCGGGCTAAGCGGGCAGTTGATTTGAATGTGATTTGCATGCCTGGCCCCTGCCTGCGGTGCGGTTGGGATCCCGGGGCACTCGCTGGCCCTAGGCTGGGATCACAAGGTGAGGAGTTGCTGCGCAGCGCCTAGCATAGATGGGGCCTGGGGCTGGGCGGGATGAGGGGCGGTCGATGCATTTGGGTAACAACCCGGAGGATGATAAATCAGGGAGCCCTTGTGCCGGTGCATTGCAGACTGCGGGGAATATTCAGATACCGGCAACCCTGGAGGTACTTGGGAGTGTAGAAGGAAGGAGAACCCTGAAAGCCATGCAAGGACCGTGAAAGCCTCTTAAAGAAGCAAACAACCTCCTTAGCCGACCTGGCAGCCTGGTTGCGGGAGTGGGGGTGGGGACGCAGGTGGGGAGGAGTCCCCAGTCAGAAGGAGACAGCACTCAGTTTCTGGTGAAGGTGAAGAACCTTTGTCCTGCCAGTATCATACTGGGAAAGTCACTTAATCTCCGTGGGCTTCAGTTTACACTTAAAATCTAGAAATTCCTCCTTGCCCCAGGAGCATTGGTGATGTGGATGAGTGTGTGTGGATGACCTGGGTTGGAAGCGGAGTTAGGAACCCAGGAGGAGGAGTAACGTGTTGAAGCTGTCTTGGCTTCCTGTTACCCTCTGTTTTCCTCTTACGGACCCGGCTTCCTGCTCACAGAGACTTACTTTCCCACTTAACATTTTTTTTCAGAACGGTCCAGTGAGTGTATTTGATGCTTTGGATTTCTTACTTGCTCATTGCCTAGATCTCTTGTTTTCTGCTAATGAATATGGTTGGGGGGGGTACTCGGGAATTAGGGGGTTGTCTTGCTCCTTCCCTTCCTTCACCTACCTACTGTCTTGTCTCTTCTAGAAGCTCCCTGGGGCCTCAAGTCACTGAACTGCCATGTCTGGGAATCCAGTGCCAACCTCAGAACAGAACAGTCATGTTCTACAGGCTACTAATCTTAGGCAGTCAGAGAAGAAGTGTTGTGAGTATTGAGGAATAATGCCATTCCAGTTTACAGCCTTTCCCCCTCACAACACCCCTGTGAGGCAGGTAGTTTACTATCCTTTTCAGGAAACTGAGAATCAGAGAGGTTAAGAATCATAGTCACAGTTAGTAAATATCAGAGCTTGGGCTCAGCTAGGTCCCCTGAGTTCAAGTCCAGTGGTCTTTCCAGTGGGGCTCCCCACTTGATAATGGGGAGGGAAATGTATGTATAATATATATTATATATGCGTATGTATATATATAATATATAAAGATACATGTATGTAAAACAATGCATGTAAAGTCCTTTGCAAAGCTTGAAGTGATTTACAAATGTTAATGATCTTGATCTTGTTAGTATACAGCCTGAGAACACAAATGCTATGGCAGGGTTGAGCTTTTTATAGTCAAAGTGGGAGTCCTTTTCCTGCTTCTGACACAATGTGCAAAACAGAAATCATTATTTCCTCCTCCCCTCTTCCAAACATCCCTGTTACTTTTAAGGGCACTACCTAGGATTGCAACCTCAGTGTTATCCTCATCTTCTTACTCTAACCTTGCTATTTCAACCTTCATAACATTTTTCATATACATACTTCCCTTTCTCCTCACTGATACAGCCTCTACCCTAGGTGAAGCTCTCATTATCCCTCTCCTCAGGCTATTGCAATAGACTTCTAACTGTTTCTCGACCTCAAGTGTTTTATTCCAATTGATCTTCTCTATGCCCCTAAATCTTCTAAAGTCTAACATCTTCTAAAGGATAGATGTGTTTATGTCACCCCCTACTCAGTAAACTCCAGGAGATCCCTATTATGTCCAGCATCAAATTAAGCCTGTGGCATTAAGGCTCTTTACAACCTGGACCCTTCCTACTTTTCCCTACTTCCATCTTCTTGTGCTGTATTCACATGCATATACTCTATGAGCTGGCCAACCTTGGCCAACTTGCTGTTTCATAAACACACCATCTCCTATCTCCAAATCTTTGTTAGCTGTCTCTCTTGCCCAAATAACTCTCCCTCCTGATCTTGTCTTAGTTTCTGGCTTCCAGCAAGTCTCAGCTCACATTCCCCTCTTCTCCAGGAGGCCTTTCCTGGTTCTCCTTCCTTCCCAGTTGCTAGTGCCTTCTCCCCTGAAACTATCTTTGGTCTAGTCTGCATGTATCTTGAATGTATCTAGTTATCTATCAGTTGTCTTCCCCCATTAGAATGTGAGCTTGAGGTCAGGAACTGTTTTTACCCTTGTTTGCATCTCTGGTGCTTTGGCACATAGTAGGCACTTACTGCTTGTCTGACTTAAAACAAAGCCTTCCACTCCTCCCAGTTTTCATGGGTGAATTTTCTGTTTATGAAACAGAGAGAACATTTCTCCTTGGGGTCCTAATGTGGTAGGTCATAGACTCATAGGATTAACCACCCCTGAGATTTACTAGCTAGATGATCATGGACAGAAGACTTATTATCTTTGAGTCAGTTTTCTCATGCACAAAATGAGATAAAAAAGTCTAAGTGCTGTAGAAAGATCAATGATACTTATTCATAACATCAAGAAGAGGCAGTGTGCTGTAGTGGGCAGAGGACTGGATTCAAGTCTTGCCCCTGACTTACACTAGCTAGGTGACCCTGGGCAAGTCGGTCCGCTTAGATAGACGTTGTAGAACCCTGATCTGTATCCCCAGAGAAAGTTGCAATTATTCATTCAATCCATAAACACTTATTAAAGCACCTATTGTGTGCCAGGCACATCTTTCCACTTGAAAGGGTCAACACGTAAGTGAAACCACAGCTCTGGACCAAAGGAAGAAGAGATTCAGAGCTGGAGGGACCTTTTTTGTTGTCGTTGAGTCGTTTCATTCGTGTCTGACTCTTCATGACCCCATTTGGGGTTTTCTTGGCAAAGAGGCCGGAGTGGTTTGCCATTTCCTTCTAGCTAGCTCATTTTACAGATGAAGAAACTGAGGCTACCAGTGTTAAGTGACTTGCCCAGGGTCACACAGCTAGTAAGTGTCTCAGGCCAGATTTGAACTCAGGTCTTCCTGACTACAGACGAAGCACTATATCCACTGCATCACCTAGCTGCTGTGGAAGTACCTTAGAGATCATCTAATCAAAGGCTGTCACTTTGCAGATGAAGAAACTGACACACCGAGAGGCATCACTTGTCTAGTGATACACAGGTGTCAGAACCACATTTTGGACCCATGTCTTCTGAGTGTCTTCCAATCTTTTAACCCTTCTCCTGGTACCGGTTCAAGGGAAGGAATGCTTACTACTATTTCCACATCCTGCTTAATAAGTTATCTATCTGAAGTATTCTATCTGAGCAAATAACAATATGTTCCCATTAAAGAGGACAGGACAGGACAGGATGGACTAGGGAGGCAGAGATGGTCCTTTTTTCAGTTTCACTCTTTGCCAGGCTAAAATGTGTTGTAATCCCTCCCTTCCTTTTCTGCCTATTAGAAACATTGTAATAAGTAGGTGCCTCACCCTATTTACTGTCCCTTTCTCCAAATCTACATCTCTGTGGTATTAACCTTGACTGCTAGCCAATCTCAGGGCTCCTCCCATATGGTATAGTAAGTAGGGCACTGGACTTGGACCTCTGTTCAAATTCTGTATCAGAGGCTTACTAGCTGTGTGATCGTAGGCAAGTCACTCAACCTCTTGGTGTCTCAATGTCCTTATTTCTAAAATGAACAGGTTGAACTTGATGACCAAGGTCCCCAATGGCTCTAATTCTATGATCCTAAGAAGGTGCTTCCCTGCTTCACCTGGCTGTCGGTTTATCTCTTGTTAATTGCATATTGACTGACTGTTGGTTTTTCCAGGGGCCAGTGAATCAAGCATTTTCTAGCCTATCTGAGAAGTTGGAAATGAAAATAGTTGATGGAGAGGATGGGGAAAGCAACACTGTAGCATTTCTGTTTCTTCACTTCCATCCCATGCCCCACTCTGTCTGCTCCCATTAATTAGCCTTAGAATTTTCATAGCTGATCTCACAAGGCTCTGTCCACATCTTGGTTCCTGGCACTGCTCAGCATGCTAATGTTTGACTGAAACCCCATTCCCCAGGGAACCAGACAAAGTCTGATAACTCTTACCTGTAAATTACTCCACCTCTCACTCCCCAGAAGTATGCCAGCTCATTGCTTTCTCACTCTACTAGTTATTAATAGAAGATAAAAGCAGGAGATAGACAGAGGGGAGGGAGGGATGTTTGATGTTCAAAGCTGTTCTTGGAGCCTCAGCCTTGATGTCAAGCTCTTGATGGTCTCATGATTAATAATGATAATCTCACATCCCTGAGCTCTTATGAAGCTCTTTAGAGTTGTATGGCCACAAGGAGAGCTGAGGTTTGCTTGTCTCTTCAGGGCCACCCTCTCCTCTCTGCCAGGACATCAGGCTAGGCATGTAGCATAAAATGCCCCCATAGAAAATATTCTATCCTGCCTCTGTTTGAAACAGTGGGTACCTTTCTGAAATGTTGTATGTGTAAAATAAATTTTTGTAAATATACTGTAAATGTCCTAGAACTCACTATTTAAAGGAACACTACAGGAATTCACTTTGCCAAGTGAATGGACCAACCTTTGCAAAATTTTTGTTTCATCCTTGGCAATCACCCTCTTAATATGTCTGTGTTCTGACCAATAGCTGGTATGTGGAAGTCAATCAACACTATTTCCATTTATTCAGCATCTACTTTGTGCCAAGACCAAAAATGAAACAGTTTCTGCCTTCAGATAAGGTTTTATATTCTATAAAGGGATTCAACATAGACAAATAAGTTGAATTTGGGAGTGAGGGCCTTAGCATCTGGGGGATCCGGAAAGGTGCATCATGGAAAGGACATTCTATATGACTTTAGGCTGCTGCTGATTTTACTTCTCTGGGCCTCAGTTTCTTTATTTGTCAAATGGGGAAGTTGGATCAGCTAACTTGTTAGGTCAGTTTGAAGAGTCGAGTAGCTGAAGTCTGATTAATGCATATTGGGCTTTCCAGAAGTTGAGGTATGTACTTCCCCTCCTAAGAAAACTGAGTTTTTATTGGGGTTCTCTGACCTCAGTACCATGAGGTCTTTCTGGCTATCGAAAGGAAGAGTGCTTTTTTTTTGGCTAGCTGTATCTGCTTCATGCTGATCTTCCCACTCAGATCTTTCCCTTCCTCTGCCCTTCCTCCTTTATGTCAGGTGCCTGGAAGACTTGGTTCTTTGTGTCCTTGGAGAACTTCCCCCAGAGTTTTCAATGTGAATGAGAACAGAAAGACCCTGTCCTTCCCCATCCCTGGCCCTGCCTCTCCTTCTCCTGTCATTTCCCTTCCCTCTTCCTAACTTTTCATTCTCCTTTCCCCCCAAGCAAATACCTGCTGCTAGGTTGTTCTAAAGTACAGTGAACTGTCCTGTTTCACCTGCAGCATGTCTGAGTTTCCCATCCCCCAGGATTGAAATTTGAGACAACCAACTGTCTGGGAGAGGGGGAGATTAAGCTGAGAGAGTATTTGTAGGTTTGTTTTCTTTTCCTTGCTGCCTCCCTGCATATTGTAAAAGGGTCCCATGGCTCTTTCTTGTTCACACCCTCAGCCAGTTTATTAATAGCTCAGCTATTATCCCTTAGCTAGCTAATTACCCCTGTGTAGGTCAACTTGGACTCTGGAAAGGTGACAGAGGGGAGGGGAGAGAAGGCCTGAGGGCAACAAGATGGAGTCCTAGAGCCTGTATCCTCAGAGCTCTTGCTACTTTTGGGGAGCTCAGAATAGGGTTTCCTTAAGTTTTTTTCTAGAACTCCTTTACATAGCTCAGGTTGGCCCAAGCAAGAACAAGGTGCCATTTATTATCTGCATTCTCTCTTAGGGAAAGGGTCTTCAGGGTACTGGTAAGAGTTCTGACAAGGGGTTGGGTGGTTTTGTGACCAGTGATGGAGAGTCAGAAGACTTGGATTCTAGTCAGAGCTCTCTCCCTGACAGAACTTCTCTGCAACTCAGTTTTGCCATCTAT